AACAAAAATAACAAATAAAATCAAACTGAACTAAACAGCTTTGAAATCAAGAACAATCTCAAAAAAACAGGTAAAACAATTTACACAAAAAGTATCTGAAGCCAGGCGAGGTGGCTCACGCCTATAATCCTGGCACTCTGGGAGGCCGAGACAGGTAGATTGCCTGAGCTCACAGGTTCGAGATTAGCCTAAGCCAGAGCGAGACCTCATCTCTAAGGGGCAGGCACCTGTAGTCCCAGCTACTTGGGAGGCTGAGGAATGAGAATCACTTGAGCCCAACAGTTTGAGGTTGCTGGCTGCTATTGAGCTATGACATCACAGCACTCTACCAAGAGCAACAAAGTGAGACTCTGTCTCCAAAAAAAAAAAAAGCATCTGGCTAAAGAGACCTAACTAACACTCAAAATGTCAACCAATACGGAACATATTACAAATTCAGTAGAGAATACAATGCAAGTCTGGATTTTTAATTCTTCAAAATAATAAAGCTTACAGCAAGAAAAAAATATTCCATCTCCTTTCTTACAAATGACTCAATCAGCAGGATTCAACCACGCCCCAAAAGTCATTGCAGATCTAACATCATAACACTACCCCCTGTCTCAAAACCTTTAAGAATCAAAGGAGTATCTCCAATAAGTCTTTCCCAATTAAAAGCCAAATACAAAGTAGATAAATCTATATATTCTTGAAGACGGGTAACACAAGGATTATGCTAACATCTGTGATTTGAAAGCCACATTACTGTTAAAATTCAAACCCAGGCAAAGAGCCAGATCACCCTGAAAAGATATTTTTTGATTAACTGATTACTAAGAGAGGATTCGGTCATACATCTCAAGTATCAATAACTTATTATAAGTCTCATGGTAACATTCCAAATTTGTGCTTGTTTTTCCAAGATTTAACAGTAGCCAGTCATGAAGTCTTGATAATATTATTAAGACTTGAAAGCTGATCCTGTCATCAATATTTTAAACTTAATTGATAATATATACATGAAAAAATTGTTTTCAATCATAACCATTTCTCCAGCATATACAAAAAATAGGCAGTTAAGATGAAGCGCAAAAGAAATAGTGCAAAAAAAAAAAAAAAGTAAAGAAAGAAATGTGCAAACTTCTGGCTCAGTGCCTATAGCACAGTGGTTACGGCGCCAACCACATACAAGGAGGCTGGCAGGTTTGAACCGAGCCTGGGCCAGCTAAACAACAATGACAACTGCAACAACAACAAGAAAATTAGCCAGGCGTTGTAGTAGGTGCCTGTAGTCCCAGCTACTTGGGAGGCTGAGGCAAGAGAATCACTCAAGCCCCAGAGTTTGAGGTTGCTGTGAGCTGTGATGCCACAGCATTCTACTGAGGGTGATACAGTGAGACTGTCTCAAAAAAAAAAAAAGAAAGAAAAGAAATAGTGCAAACTTCTGTTTAAAAAAAAAAAAATCTCACACACACACACAAAAAAGGTTTTTTTTGAGACAGTCCTCACTCTGTTGCCCTAGAATGCCATGGTGTCATAGCTCACAGCAACCTCCAACTCTTAGGCTTGAGCAATCCTCTTGCTCTAACCTACAAGTAGCTGGGACTACAGGCATCTACCACAATACCTAGCTAGTTTTTTTAGAGATGGAGTTCTTGCTCTTGGATGAACTGCAGAACGCAAGCAATCCACCAGCCTCGGCGTGAGCCACCTCCCTGGCCTATAAACCACCCTTTAAACAACTCCACATTTGTAGATCCAAACTCAGAGGGCAGGGACCAAATCAGATTTTCTCTTCTTTCTATAATTTCTCTTTAGGTGTTCCCATCCTGTCTCACAACTTAAATACTACTTAGTACTCCAAAAAATACAAGGGATCGAAGCAAGTAACATATGCCATCATTTCTGTAAAGTGGAGGACTAATATAAATGTATTTGCTTGTATGTGCACAAAATATTTCTTTAACACTGGCTACAAGGAAAACTGGGTGACGGAGATTTTAATTCTATTCCCTATTGGGTATTTTAAGTTCTGAACCATGTGAATATAGTTTTTATTTATAAATATAGCATACCAATAAATAAATGTGATGACTCTGCATCTGTCTTTCTCTCCCCACTAGAATTTAAGTGCCTTGAAGGCAGAGATTTATGTCCATTTTTTCAACAATCTGATCTAACTCTGGTGCTTGAGAAACATTTGTTGAATGAATCAATGACTCCTTGACCTCTCCACTAATTCTAGACTTGCATATTCAATTGATCCAATTGCCTACTTCTTTCTCACCTCCATCTGAACAACTAGATCGAACTTAGTATGTCCCATCCAATGCCATCTCATGTAGCAATTTGCTCCCCTCACCGCTTCCCCATCTCAGTACATGGCACCATCATCCTCTAGTTGAAGACAAAAGCCCAGAAGTCATTCTTGTCCCAATCAACGGGATGTCAATCCTGTCATCCAAACCATGACAAGTTCAATAAATATCTTTAACTCCAAAATACACTGCAAAACCTTTTCACTTGTCCCTTAACATTCCATAGTCCCAGGCTGGGCACGGTGGCTCAAGCCTGTAATCCTAGCACTCTGGGAGGCTGAGGCGGGTGGATGGCCTGAGCTCAGGGAGTTGAGACTAGACTGAGCAAAAGCGAGACAGTCGCTACTAAAAACAGAAAATCTGGGCAGTGCCTGTGGCTCACTGAGTAGGGTGCCAGCCTCATATACGGAGGGTGGCGGATTCGAACCTGTCCCCCGGCCAAACTGCAACAAAAAAATAGCCAGGCATTGTGGCAGGCACCTGTAGTCCCAGCTACTCAGGAGGCTGAGGCAAGAGAATTGCCTAAGTCCAAGAGCTGGAGGTTGCTGTGAGCTATGACATCATAGCACTCTATCCAAGGTGACAGCTTGAGACTCTGCCTCAAGAGTAAAAATCAAAAATTCCATAGTCACTACTCTTCTCACTAGTCTCCCCTTTTCTCCAATCTACAAGTCAAACTGTCAATCAGAGACCATATGACTCCCAGTTTATCATAGAATTCCAACAGCTTTTCAATGTATTATAATAAAAGCCAAACTCCTTTGGACAACAGGACCTCATAGGATCCTGCCACTGGCTAGGACATACATAACCTATCATATCTCACCTGCGCTGAGCTACTTTCAGCTGACTAGTCACCACCTTGATACCACTTTGGCCTCTTCCGTTTGTTCCTCCTTCCGACAGCAACACTCTTCCCTCAGAACTTCCAAAAGCTACATCCCTCTCATTTCTCAGGTATCAGGTCAAAGGTCACCTCAGAAAGACCTTTCCAAAACACAGCATCTGAAATAATCTTCACCCACCCTATCTATATTTCCTTCATATCACTTATTCTCTGAAATTACTTTTATTTCCTACTGATTGTCTTTCCCTCCCCAGACAGAACTGAAGATCCAACTGGGTGAAAGAACAGGTACTTCATGTGTCTTGGTTACTGTTGTATCCATAACGTCTGCAATACTGCTTGGCAGATAAACCAGATGCTTAAGAAATATTTGTCAATTGATAAAGGCAAAATGACCTTACAGAAGGTCCACAACATTTGAGTGACAAACTGGCGAGGACAGAAGACATGGACAGAACACATTTACAGGACACTGAAAATCGCCAGAGATGATGGCAAATGAAGAATATTTCAGATGCATGTAATCATCAAAAGGTATTTTTCACACACTATGCACCATACACACTGTAGAAATGGTCCTCAACCTCACAAACAGCAGCTGAAAAAACAAACACTTCAAAACACTCTGTACATCTACCTGTTACTTCACCTGACTCTTTTGGAAGGGTCTTTCAAATACTGTTCATAGGCAAAAGGGACAAAGTATAACTAATTTGTTCATTTGTCTGTCTTGAAAAGGATGTCAGATTCTAAAGGGCAGGGAATGGTGCTTTGAATATTTTTAAGTGCTAATTATGTACTCAGTAGTCAATCAGAACAAACTGATTATTTCCCATACTTTACTATGCATTTAGATTTGGAACAGGTCCAACTCAGTATCTTCCTATTAAAAAGTCAAAGGCTATAGCGCATCTTAGCAGTTTACAGCTTATCTTCAAAATTTAAGCTTCCACGGTACTGTCCTAACTGGTAATAGTAACCCATGAGGGGAAGGGGAGGACTTAATAACAATAACAATCTGCAATTCACAGATATTTGATTTGCATCCATGTAAGGGTAGGGAATGGCCCAGACTCCCCAGTGTGCAAGCTAGTGCTGGAGAGTCTAAGGATCTTATTTCACCAGACCCTAAATATTGAAATAAGAGGTCTAGTATGCACGTAGGATACTCCTCTCCAAAGCTATCAATCGTCCCTATCTGCAGAAACAAAAGTGAAAATACTCATGGAAAGGATGTATGAGACTGCTGCCCCTCCTCGACACACTGAGTTGTGTATCCCCATGAGCACGTAAATAAGCAGGAGTCCACGCACTCTCTCACCTTCTCTCCCTGAGGAGGAAAATGGGGCCGAGGGAGGGGCGGTCAAGATCGGGCTGGGGAGGCCCAGGATCCAGTCCAGGGGGTGGCTGGGCTCAGGGGTCGGCGCTCTGGGGAGCCGAGGTCACTTATAGGACACCACGCTCCCAGGCCTCCCCCTTTCATCCCTCTCCCCTCCTCCTCGCCCCCAACTCCTTTCCTTCGCCCCATCCCCGCTACCCATTAACCGAGAAGGGAAGTTTCCCGGCGCCTGCAGCCCGGCTCCGCGACCCTCAGCGGGTTACCTTCTGCAGAAGCGGGGCAAGGGGCTAGGGACAAGGGGAGGGGGAGGCGGCCCGAAGGAGTGAAGGACGAAGCCCCCGGCGAGGAAGGTGGGCGGCGGCGGCGGCG